AAATAAAATACCTAATTTAATTGTGGGAACATCAGATTAACTTTCAATATAGAGAATGTTATCTAATTTGATATCTCTGTGAACAATTCCATTATAATTGAGATAATTTACAACATCAATAATCTATACAGCAATTTGCATTTTTTGGTTATCAGTAAGGGCAATGTTTTCTTTTTGAAGTCTTGTCAAATACTATTTTAAGTTACCTTTAAATAATAAATTATAAATTAAACTTTCACATAATTAAAAGAAAATTAATGATAAAAAATTTATTTATTTATTTTTTAAATATTACCAGAACATTTCTCTATCTCATAAACTACAAAATCATCATTTTTATTGACTGACAAGTAGAAATAGCCATAAAACTTAATGACAAGAGGCATTTAGCAATCTCTCATGATTCCAACTTCTTGAACAACTTCATGTTTAGATTGAACTTATTGAATCTTTAAAACTGTTTTAAATCCTAAAGTTTTGTTAAAAGTTCCAAGGACCAAACCTTTCGCACCTACAGAAATGAATTCAAAATTGCTGTCATATTTAGGAATACTCTAAAGTAACTTTAGAATAGTTTCATATTCTTATGCCTTAAAGGGTTTTTACTGAAGGACATCAAACATTTAGATTAAATTTTTGAAATGTTTTTGATTCTATTGATTTTAAAATTATAAATATGAATTAAAAATATCCTTCTTATAAATTACTGATTTACTTTGGATGATTAAGAGAGTTCTAAGATTTCACTCTTCTTTTTCTATTATTTTTCAATAATAGATTTTTGAATTTAGCTTAGTTGCTCTGATTTCTGCAATAATTAAGACTAAAATTACATTTATAAATTTTTTACAAATGAAGAGATCAAAATAAAAATATTTACTCTGTTAATTACAGAAGAAAGTTCAACTGCTAAATAATTTTAGTTTTCTTATATGAACTGAATGAGTAAATCTATGGCTTATTTTCGATTTTCTACATAGTAATTTAGACATTAATAAGCTATCTTGTAGATATATGATTGTC